GTTCGCCAGAGCAATAATTGGAGAAACCTCGCTCGAAACGCTCGCCACTAGAGCGTGCTCCTCTCTTCCGGCGGTTGTGACACTGACGAAGGTTCGAAATCGGTTATTGGCCATTGTGAGGGATCCAAGTGAACCCAAGAAGGTCCATGGAACCAAAGCGGGTGGTCCATTATTTGCATCGGGGTGAGTCCCCGGGATAGACAATCGGCAGGGTTTTCTTTACCGGACACGTGATAAAAGTTCCGCGTTTCTAACTCGTCTTGGATCTTGGTCACTCGGTTCGCGACAAACGTATCCCAACGGTGGGGTGAAGAATGAACCCAACATAAGGCGACGGTGGAGTCGGAAAAGGCAAATATCCTTTCTATGTGAACTCTATCCCTACATGCGCCGATAACTGTGGTAATAAGCTTGGTGAGTACTAATATTGCGCAAAGCTCTAAGCGCGCCAGAGAGACAACCTTACGGGGGGAGACTCTCGACTTAGAACTAATGAGGCTAATCGAATTTCTACCATTATTCTGGACATGGAAATATACAACGCCCCCGTAAGCCCTCTCGCTGGCGTCTGCAAATCCAACGACCGTTATGCTGCTATTTCTATCGACATTTATATGACGCGGTATTTTAATTTCTCTTAGTAAAGGAAGTTCCTCTCTAAAGCGCTGCCACAATCGAACAATGCTGTCAGGCGGCGAGTCATCCCAATCACATTCAAATAACCAAAGTTGTTTAATCAAAAGCTTAGCGTACAATACCACAGGAGCTACGAAACCCATGACGTCCCATAATCTAGCAACGCATGACAGTATTGTGCGCTTTGTGCATTTCTCTACGGGCGGATTTACCTTAAGGCTAAACACGTCGGACTCTGGTGACCAACACAGACCGAGCAACTTGTGTGTATCGGAATCGTCGAATTCCTTTATCGCCGAAAGACGGTGTGATAGTGGGATTGTATCTAAAACCGTACGCGAATTACTAGTCCACTTCACAAGATCGAATTGACCCGATTTCATGAGCCTTATGACTTCGGCGGTGGTTAGGGTGGCCTCCTCCACGCTATCGACCGAATACACAAAATCATCCATATATAATCCGCTCTCAATTGCCCTCTTAGCTTTAGGATAAGAGGGACCTTCATCGTGAGCGAGCTGTCTCACCGTGCGTAACGCATGAAATGGGCTCGACTTTAAACCAAAACAAACGCGGTTAAATTCAAACATCATTAGAGGTTCCTTTGGGTTGAAGCGATATAAAATGCGTTGGAATCTACGGTCGCATTCACGGACCCCTATGCAAAGAAACATTTGGCGAATATCGGCGGATAATGCTATACTAAACAAACGAAAATTGACTATTATATTAAATAAACTGCCCTGTAAATTTTGCCCACTATAGAGGATATCGTTAAGCGACAGGTGAGTGCTAGTTTTAGCACTAGCGTCGAGCACTACACGTAATTTAGATGTAAGTTTGTCCTCTCTAATGACTCCGTGGTGTGGTATAAAATACGACGGTGTGTCTTCGTAGTTATCTAATTTCGAAGCCACAAGCGATATGTAACCTTCTCTTATATATTCGTTAATGACGCCGTCGTAAGCTTCCTTTAACTGGGGCGAAGCGAGCATCCTACGCTCCAAGCTGTAGAAACGCTTTTCCGCCATTTGACGCGAATCGCCGAGAGATAAAACATCTCCTTTAAAGGGTAGCGCTACACTATATCTACCGTCGCAATCACGAACGGTCGTGCGGACGTAAATTTCCTCGCATAACCTGTCATCTGAACTAGCTATAGGTGGGACGTTCACCTCCTCCATCTCCCAAAATTTGCGGACTAACGACTCGAGCGGTTCGACAGCCATACCACAATAAGAGGTTGCCGAAATACTATCTAGGATGGGGGCGGAGCCAAGGATCACATAGGCCAATACGGTTTCCAGTGCGTAAGGCGCGGTATGCGAGGAGTTGCCCCTGACCTTATTGTTTAACAAAAGATAAGGGAAAAGCGATGCCCCAATGAGCATGTCTATGTTTCCAGGAACGGCGTAAGTGTCGTCTGCTAGAGGCAAATTTTTAAATTCAATCATTGCCGAGGTGTCAACCGAAACGGTTGGCAACCGTTCAGTGACCCTATCTACTACTAGTGCATTTATATCAAAGTTAACATTACGATCTATCCGAGAATAAAATTTTAAATTTATATATCCCTGTGTCGCTTTACTAGTACCTCCGATGCCTTTAACTACAGGACATGAAAGTGACCTATTTATTACTAAACCTAAGCGCTGACAACATTGTCGTGTTATAAAGCTATTTTGGGCTCCGCTGTCCAGCAGTGCACGGACGCTTTGTTCGTTTCCACGCGAATCCCTAACCAAAATACGCGCCGTACCCAGTAACACGGTCGAAGGAGGTTGTACTCCCATATTTGCCAATGAGCACAGAGCGACATCACCAGGTCGACCGCTAGAATCGTTGACCTTAGTAGGGGTGAATTCCTTATCCGCCTTACTTGACGCCGCTATGTTGCTATTTTCAAAATGTAATAGCGTGTGATGTTTCCTGGCGCACTTGCTACATACGGAACTCGAATTGCATTTTGCAACTAAATGCTTATCGCTTAAGCAGTTCAAACATAGGTTGTTTGTCTTTACTAACTTATAACGTTCGCTTGGTGAATATTTACGAAAAGTCGCACAATTATATAAATTACCGTGTTTATCTTTACATACTATACAAGTATGCTGGAGTGATGTCGGCGTAGCGGTTACGTAAGTTAACGACCCTGCTATTTTAGATGGTTGAGTCTGTCTACGGTCGACGCACCTTTTAATCTCCTGTTTAACGTTCGGAGAGCGCTGCATCACCTTTATTTGATCTCGCACGAACGATGCTAATGAATGAAAGGAAGGCATCTCCGAGCTACGATGCTCCATTTCAAACGCACGCACGGTGTCGGAGTCTAATTTCTTTAATGCTATATGGAGAAACACCACGTCCATAAGGTCATCAAACTTCAAATTCTTAAGTGCAGCCACCGATGCCACAAATTTATCTAGAAACTGCTCTAAGCCGTTGATGTTCGCGGATGATATAGGTTTAAGATCGAATATCTGGTTCAAATATTCGGAAGCTAACATTCTCCTATCTTCATATTTAGTTTTAAGCGTTTCAAATATTAAGACGTAATTGTTTGCTGTAGGTGTAAAACCCGAGCAGATCGACTGTGCTCTGCCACTAAGTTTGCTAATTAAGTAATATAATTTTTCAGCGTCCGATAACGATGGGTTGTTGTGTATATTGTTTTGAAAACTACTGAAGAAGAAGGGCCACGTCTTAATATCACCATTGAATACCGGAATATCTATTGGCGGTAACCTAATTGAGTCACGAGGGCGTACCTGTATTTCCGGCTTTGCTTCGCTTTGAGATTGTAGGAGTTTTGCAGTTCTTTTTACGCGACACAACATATCTTCGAATGCCAGCAGCGGTTGGTAGTTCACTATGTATTTCGGGTCGCTTTGTAATTCCAAATGATTAATTTGGTCTAATATTCTTTCGTAATCTATCCGCAAAGTATCTATCGTTTCGATTTCATTCAAAAAGGCTTCCCGCACTGCCTCTATATTAATGTTCTTTATATAATTACTTATATTCTGCACACGCGAAAAGAGTATGTCCCTCTTGGCATAAAGCGTTTTAATTTTGATTTCACTTCCACTAACTGCCATTTTAAATTATTATAATAAAGTTATATTAATCACAATTAATCTCACACGCATAAACGACGTAGGATGAACACTCGGCGTGCCGTATTACGTAATCAGATCGAACACCCGTTGCGGTCGAGTCTACGCGTCGTTTGCTAAACCTAATAATTTTATCAAATTGTGGGGTAAGCGTATCAAACGGTTGCTATCACACCGTTTCAATTATTTAATAAGCTTTAAATTTAACCAAATACGAGCGCTATTAAATGAATAATTCTGTTTGCGAGTACCAAATCAAAATTTTAATTTAAACGAACACTATTTAAGTCTATTCCATAAATTACAGTGCGTTATCTAAACAATTAATTTAAAAAATTCGACCAGAAAATGGTTGGATAACCACTAAACACCAATCCAGATCCTGCCGAAGTGACCATAAAATGGTGGAGCCACGTGTTTAAGGCTGCCGAAAATCTAGTTCCCCGGTCAAACCTCAAACCTATTACGCGAGATATTAACTAAAGTGGACTGTATTTGCGATTGCTTCTATGCTTATGTAAAAGCGACTACTATAGCATGCGGTACAATGCACTCGCTCTTCCCTAAACTAAAACTATTACTTGCCAAATTGGTCGTCGTCGAGCGTCTTTGTAGTTAACATCTGTGACAGTTTGCTCCGCATATAAATAAGTGCATTGTAGTTAAAAGTAAATTACTAGTGTATATTTTGTAATTATCTTAAAGTTTTTGATCTGGGCTATCTAGTAGTGAAATCAGTTTTTCATTTCGCGTTGTAACATTTGAGTTATAAGCAAATACATTTCAAAAAATTGTTTTCGGCCGTTACGTACTGACCTACGACAACCCACAGCGCGCTCGCTGCTGTGAGTCACCGACACCTGTTGCTGGTCGGCCGCCGCGCTGTTGAGTGCATCAAGCTGTGTAGTGATCGAGATGACGTCACGCCAAGTAAACTGCGCAGGATGCCGCGGTGTTATTATGGAAGACAGCGCATTCATGAGGTGCGCAAAATGTAAGCAATATTTCGATATTATGTGCGCCAATTTTAGTGTGGAAGTATTTGCAACAATGACATCAGAATTTAAAAAGATGTGGATATGTTTCGAATGCCGTAGCAAAATACCTAAGCTTGATAATTCACATACGCCAGTACGCCAGCAGTTGAGCCATGATACGACTGCCGTTGATGATTGTTTGGATGTATCGATGCATACCCCAGATAATATCACGTTTCGAAACGGGAAACGTCCTGCGCAATTAGTGGCGATGAAATGTGACCCTTGCCCCCAAAACATGGCCCCTGTAGTACAAGAAATAAAGCAAATGCAGGACGACTTCGAATCGCGCCTTACCATGAAAATTTGCGCACTACTCAATGAGCAATTTAATGAATTTAAAACTTCGGTATTTGAAAAAATTTGCAATTTAACCAATAAGATTGACAAATTAGAAAAAATAACCCTAAAAATGGACAAAGATAATAGTGCATCAACGCAGGGATATGCAGCGGCGGTACAGCACCCATTGAACCTAGATAATGGGAAGACTAAGCCGAAAGTAAAATCTGGCCCTCAGGAGAAAAATAAGGGAGCTTCGGGCAAACCTAATCCACCCGAAAAAAGTAAGCACACCTATCTCTTCTTTAGCGCCAGTTTCAACTTTAGTCTCTGATTCCAACACTTCGATTTTGAGTGTAAGCCGTGAGACAACTGTTGCTTCCCGGGATGGCGTGGAGCAAAAAGACCCGGAAGAATGGATACAGGTGAGACGTAAAACTGGACGCGCTTCGCTGCCCGGCGTGCTTCGCGGTACTGCAGCGCTGGGGGTGACAAAACTGCGTGCATCTGAGAGATGGAGGTACTTGCATCTCTATTCTGTTCATGAGGGTACCACAGTAGAAGAGGTGCGTGCTCACCTCTACTCTATTAGTGGAAATAATTATTGCACAGTGGAAGAACTGAAAGCAAGGGGACGTTACTCATCGTTCAAGCTTGGAGTCCCGTCGAGGATTAGCGAGAGTGTTATGTCACCAAATAATTGGGCTGAAGACATCTGTATAAAACCGTGGCGGCAGAACTTTCGTGCCAAGAAAGAAAGTGCGTAACCTATATTTCTGTTATCAAAATGTTAGAGGTCTACGTACTAAATCGGATACTTTTAGGAATAATGTGTCTCAATGCAACTTTGATGTTATAGCCTTGACCGAAACCTTTTTGAACAGTTCCGTTTTTGATGGCGAATTATTTACTTCGGAATATTTAGTCGTACGTAAAGACCGCACAGGGGACGTCGGGTGGGGAGGAGTGCTCCTTGCTGTACGAAACTGCTATACGGTGCAACAAGTAACTAATGTAGATGCCTATACGTCTGATATGGAACTGCTTTTTGCCATTATTAGTGGAAAAAGTGTTGGAAAGTTTTTATGTTGTATCGTTTATTTGCCTCCTAAATGTAGTGATAATCTATATCTCAACGTATTGACGTGCATTGAAAATGCTATCATTGCATATTATTCTCTTAATGTCCTAGTAATAGGAGATTTTAATTTGAATTCTTGTAGTGTTAATGTTAAGAATAATTTTAATTCATTTTGTGACTATTGTGGGCTTCAGCAACATAATATTGTGTATAACAAATGTGATGGCATGTTAGATCTCGTGTTGAGCAATTTTAACGCGGAGCTGGTCTTAGTGTCCGAGGGTTCAGATCCCTTAGTACCAATTGATAAGTATCACCCTCCGCTGGAGGTGACGCTTAGGTTTCAGTGCGATGCGCAGGTCCAGTCACCATCCTCTCCACCGCCGGCTCAGAGCCCGGGAGCTGCTCCAAGCTGGAATTGGCGTAAAGCAGACTTTCTGGGCCTGTACACGGCATTAAAAAGTATAGATTGGTCGGACATGTTTGTAATTGCAGACGTTGACGACGCAGTTGCGTTATTCTATCACCGTCTTTATAATTGTATCAGTCAATATGTTCCAACTAAATCCCCTTACATGCCGAATTATAAGTACGTATATCCAAAATGGTTTAATGCTGATATTATAGGTAATATACGTAAAAAATATTATCATTTGAAACGGTATAAGGCTGAAGGTAAAGAGTTCAACAAGGAATTATTTAAATACTATAGATGGCATGTTAAAAACTTGATTGACAATGCATATAAGCAGCACTTACATCTGACTCAACAAAATATAATTGACGACCCGGCCAAATTCTGGGAGTACGTTAAGAATAGGAAGAATCACAGGCAGCGTATGAACGCTTATTCTTCCAGTGGTGTCGAAGTTGTTGGGCAATCTGCGGCCGACGCTTTTGCGAACTATTTTAGTTCGGTATATCAGAACAAAGTTCCTGAACTGGACCATGTTGATGCGGTACGTGCCGCAGATAGTCGATATGACTCCACCTGTATCACAATAAATACTATTGATAATACCAAGTTAAAGGAAGCAGTAAGGCGGCTAAAACCGAGGTCGACGTGTGGCCCTGATGGTATCCCCGTTTTTTTAGCAAAGGACTGCATATCCGCTTTTGAGAGTCCACTCCTGTACCTCTTTAACTTGTCGCTGACTCAGTATAAGTATCCAGACATTTGGAAAGTTTCTAGGGTTACTCCGGTTCCAAAAACTGATGGTGAAAATGACGTTTCGTCTTTTAGACCGATTGCAGTCCTGTCAGCCTTTGCGAAATTATTTGAAATTGTCTTATGTCAGCAAATTAATAAGCAAACTCAAAAATTATTGCATGATAGTCAACACGGTTTTCGAACTGCCCGTTCTACAACTACCAATCTTGTGTCTCATCTTGACTATACATATGCTGAATTGGATGCTGGTAGGCAGGTGGATGCTGCGTACTTCGATTTTAAGAAAGCATTTGACCTGGTCGATCACGATATCTTGTTGCGTAAATTGGCGGTGATAGGCTTTGCCCCGGCACTCCTCAAGTTTTTTTCAAATTACTTACGCGATCGACGTCAGTTTGTTAAAGTGGGTGCATTTGAGTCTAGTGACTATTACACAAGATCTGGAGTGAGCCAAGGAAGTACGTTGGGGCCTTTGCTCTTTCTTATTTTCATTAATGACTTACCGAATAGTGTGACTGCCTCCAAATGTCTGTTGTTCGCGGATGATCTCAAGTTAAGCCTAGGTATAGATGACCCGTCTGACTGCGAGGCATTGCAAAGGGACATCGACGCGGTTATGGATTGGAGTGTATTAAATCATCTTCCGTTTAATAGTAATAAATGTAAAATAATAACATTCACGCGTAAACGCTGTCCACTAAAAAAAGAATATAAATTATCTGATACGCCCTTAGTAAGGGTAAGTGAAATTCGTGACTTAGGATTATTGTTAGACGCTAAACTTGACTTTCATAACCATGTGACTACTGTATGTAAAAAGACCAGTAAATTGCTTGGCTTCGTTATTCGCACTTCTTCACAGTTTGATAGATTAGAGGTCGCTTTGGTACTTTACAATGCATATGTTCGTAGTAAGCTTGAGTACGGTGCCATTGTATGGAATCCCTATGAGGAAAAATATATTTTGATGATTGAGAGAATACAGCGCAAATTTGCACGATGGCTATATAAACGGAAATACGGTTACTACCCCTATCTATATCCGTCATTATTTGTTAATGGTATGGTGGGTTTGGACACGCTTAAACTTAGGCGAACTATGCAGTTGATAACACACTACCTAGCAATCATCCATAATCGTATAGATAGTCCGATGATATTAAGTAGAGTAGGGTTGTTGGCTCCGAAGCGGCTGGGCTGTGATGTGGAGGGGACGGTGGCACCACGGCGGCGGCCTCGCCTTCTGTGGCAGCCGCCGGTGCGCACCAGGTACGGCGCTCACGCGCCCACTTCTCGTGCTATACGGCTTATCGGAGACATGCTCGCAGATTATAACGAGACCGATTTATTTGCTGATAGCTTAGGGCAACTGTGTAATAAAGCCCTTCTATTTTTGACATCCAATTTTGACAAAATGTAATATTATTAGTATTCTCTTAATCATATCTTATGTAATCAATCTGACAATGACATTTTGCTTAATTTATTTGACTTTTAATCTGTTTGGCATGTTTTTTTTTGGTATTTAGTTGATCTACTGGACACGTATTCTTTAATTTGTTTGACCTTTTGACATGTATCTTGTATTATTACTATTATTTAAAACTGTAATTTGTTAATTAGCATGCTGACGTTTTGGACAAACTGTAAGCCAGCATGTACACTGTTCTTAAAATATAAATAAATAAATAAATAAATATAAATAAATAAATCGATGAAAGGAATCCTGCCTGATGGGGAGAACACAGAATTGGAGCGGTTAAACAATTATTAAATATTAATCAGGCAGTAAATTAAGGAATGTTGACTCACCGGGGTTCTTCTATCCTTTAAAACACTATAGCGGCGACTTCTGGAACACTCCGGAGAGAGGCGGTGCGCGACGATATCTCACACGAGGTGAGGCGGGTTCCTGGAGCTCGACTGCTTCCAGGCCAAAGCGGTTTCCACTAGTGAAGTGTTTCCAAACGAGCGCGCGGGAAGAGGAGGTTGTAGTTCAACGACGGCTGCGGCGGGAAGAAGAGAGCGCGCGTCGGTCGCGCGTGTCTTATATATCCTCGGGTCCGATGATTACGCGATGTTCTAGAATCGTCTTCTTTCCCCTCCCACCCCATCACCCCGATGTGTCGATAGGAGGGTACGAATGATATCGTTTGGGAAAGGGAATAATGATTCGGCAAGTTCCTACCGTCAAAAATAAAAACGCGAATGGTTTTCCGCGCAACCATATTCATACACGTTTTTGTTAGTAATTTACATAAACTATGTTAGCAAAAAAATACAATAATAAAATAAGAATAAAATAAATTAACTTAAGGACCCTTTCCGAGGCTGAAACATACCGATACCTGGGTATGTCACAGAACATCGGTATCGAGCGTATACGTGCAGCAATACCTTTGCCGCATAGTTATATGGACTCAGACTGAACTTAATGCCCTGGATAGAAAAGTCCGCACTACTATGACGTCCCATAGGATGCATCACCTGAGATCTTCGATTATGAGGTATTTGCGATTGTGAGGGCGTAGCTTGTTAAGCGCGCTTACCATGCATAATCGCGAAGTGTGCAGCCTCCGTAACTACTTTCTGACGAGATCGGATGATCCATTCCATAGGGACGTCATTTGTTGTGATAAAGGGCTTACCCCTCTATCCTTGGCCAACGAGCACTGTAAAGAACCGGCAGTACAGAGCATTTCCGACCGGGAGACTGTATAGAAGGAGAAGAAGCACCACGGGAGGTTCTACAAGGCTCTACATGAACCTTTCGTAGACACAGTCGCCTCCCTCAACTGGCTACGTTTCGGTGACCTCTTCAGGGAAACCGAGGGTTTTGTCTGTGCGATACAGGATCAGGTTATTAAGACCAACAACTATCGGAGATACATCCTAAAGGATGGCACCGTCGCCATCTGTCGAGCTTATCGCCATCCCGGTGAGTCACTTAGGCATGTCATCTCCGGTTGTTCGGCGCTTTCTAACTCTGAGTACTTGCACTGGCACAACCTAGTAGCCAAAATTCTACACCAGGAGCTCGCTCTAAAATACGGTCTCGTGAACCGGAAACTGCCGTATTACA